TTTAGGAAATTGAACCATCGTGACAAAGTAGTCATGAATGACTCTGATGATGTGAAGTCATATCAAAAGTTCATTGAAAGATTAAGGGTGCATATATTCCTTGCTGGACTGGATGATGATTTTGAGCAAGTTCATGGAGAAATCTTGCGCAAGGAAGTGACACCTGATTTAGAAGAATGCTATGCATTGATCCGGAGAGAGACAGTCCGACAAACAATGTTGAAAACAAAATATATGATTTCTAATTCCATAGCTATCATGACAAAGAAACAACCAGCAAATCGAAGCAATCAAAAGATTTTGAAAAAGGTAACTACAAATGTACTCAGTGTAATAAGGATGGACACACCAAAGAACGATGCTATAAAATCATAGGATACCCCGAGTTGTGGGATCACAGTCGAACATCGAAGAAGAATTCAAAAAGAAATTCAACTACTGCTGTAGTGATGGTTCCAATGGTAAGGCTTTAATAAGCACATCTACCGTTCTGAATAATGCATGGATAATTGACTCTGTGTGTTCTGATCATGTGACTTTTGATGTTAGACAGATTAAAAATCTTAAACCTTCCTCACAAAAAAGTATTTCCACAGTCAATGGTAGTAAATTCATTATCATTGGACAATGAACTATCTCTATTTCAAACAATTTGAACATTGATATTGTCCTTGTTGTTCCTTCTCTTAATTATAACTTATTGTCATTCTCGTAAATAACCAAAACTATTTTATATGTTGTAATTTTTGGGCATGACTCTTGTGTTTTTAAGGAGATTTAAATGAGGAAGACGATTGATTGTGGTATTAGGCGAGGAAGGTTGTATTACCTGGACCTAACAGAAAAATATTCAAAGAGACTTGATCAAATGCTAACAACAAGAGGGTCTTAATTATTTCCAAATGTATTTGACCAAGTAGACACTTCAACTTTTTATTGTGATGTTTGTGAGCTTGTAAAGAGTAGCAAAACATATTTTCCTTTAATTTCAAATAAAAGTTCTCTTCCTTTTATGATCATTCACTCTGATGTATGGGGTTCATCTAAGGTTACAACGTTAGGTGACTCAACGTGGTTTGTAACGTTTATTGATGATTGTACTCAAATGACTTGGTTATATTTGATGAAGTCTAAAAGTGAAGTTGGAGGACTATTTCAGAAATTTTGCAAAATGATTGAGACCCAGTACAAAGCACAAGTTCAGGTACTGCGCAGTGACAATGGAGGAGAATATATGCAATCAGAACTTCAACATTTTTTAGTAGCCAAAGGAATTGTTCATTAGAGATCTTGTCCAAATACTCCACAACAGAATGAGGTGGCAAAACGAAAAAACTGTCACCTATTGGAGGTGGTCTGAGCTGTACTGATTGGAGCTCACATGCCAACAATATATTGGAGAAAAGCTCTCACATATGCAGTATACACTATCAACCGAACACCGTTCAAGTCTCTTGAGTATAAAACACCTCTTCAACCACTTACAGATGCAGTAATAAGTCCTAAAATTGTTGAACTAACACATAAAGTTTTTGGTTGTGTTGCTTATGTTCACTTATACCAGCATCAGAGAAGTAAGTTGTCTCCTATAGTTGAAAGGTGTGTGTTCCTTGGCTATGCGGATCACCAGAAAGGATATCGATGCTACAATTCACAAACCAAGCAAATGTTTACTACTATAGATATAGTTTTTCATGAAACCTTGATATATTTTTCTCCCGAGTCTGAAATTTAGGGGGAGAATTATGATGAAGTTCAGACTTTTGTTCCTCAAGAAATTGATATTGAGGTCAGATTTGAGAAAGAAAGTTACAAAGTTGTATTAGGAGATGATGAAAGTGTGCAACAATGTGATGATCAACAACCACATAATGAGAAAGATTTTGAGCATGTCGAGATCGAAAATTTGTCTGTTGATGTTGATGATATACCACACCAATCGTCCCTTGAGAAAAAGAATTATGTCAGATTGTGTCACTAGAGGTATCCCTAAGCCTACTTATGATCCTGACCTCATCAGTAAGACAAGATACCCTATAAGTAATTATATTTGTAACCAAAATTTGTCTAACTCAAATATCGCATTTATAAGTCAATTATCTACTATATTTATTTCTAACAGTGTGCAGGAAGCTTTAGCTGACTTCAGGTGGAAGGATACTATGAATGAGGAGATGAGATCCTTGCAAATAAATAAAACATGAGAATTGGTAGATTGTTCAGTTAGAAAGAAACCAATAGGATGTCAATGGGTGTATATTGTGAAATTTAATGCAGATGGCACAATTGAGATATTCAAAGCTAGATTAGTGGCAAAAGGGTACACACAAGCATATGAAATAGATTACACTGAAACGTTTGCTCCCGTAACCAAAATTAGTACAGTTCGAGTATTGTTTTCTCTAGTTGTAAACCTTGATTGGTCCTTACAATAATTTGACGTAAAAAATGCCTTCTTACACAAGGAATTGTCTGAAGAAGTTTAGATGGAGCTACTAGAAAGATGTGGGATCCCAAATACACATATCAAAAAGGTATGCAAGTTGAAGAAGTCATTGTATGGACTAAAATAATCGCGCACGAGCATGGTTTGGTAGATTCACCAAGTCAATGCTTGCTTTTAAATATTAACATAGCAACCAAGATCATACCTTGTTTCTAAAAAAAAAAGAAAGGAAAGATTACAATTTTTATTGTCTATGGTGGCGGATTTTGACAATTGATCTTGGGGGCCAAAATAATATATTATTAATAAATAATAAATAAATATAAAAAGAAAAAAGAAGATGAAAGGGTGAAAGGATAAAATTGTAGATATATACTTAAATATATTAAGTGATCATTAAGTTTGAGGGGGACAAAATCATTAATTATATGAGAGTTAGAAAACTAAGGAAGGGCTGAGAGGATAAAATTGTAAATATACAAATAAATATATTAAATGTTCATTAAATTTTGGGGGTCAAAATCATAAATTACATGGGAGTTACAAAACTTTGAGGGGGTCATGGCCCCCCTCAGCTCCCAAGAAGATCCAACACTATCTATGTTGATGACATGATAGTTACAGGAAACGATCTAGAGGAACGCAAGGTATTGAAAAAGTACTTGACAAAGGAATTTGAGATGAAGGATCTTGATCCTTTGAAATATTTTCTTGGAATTGAGGTCTCAATATCAAAGTCAAATATTTTTCTCTCCCAACGAAAGTATGTATTGGATTTACTAAAAGAAACTGGAATGACAGCATGTAAACCAGCAAATTCTCCAATTGAAGGGAGATTAAAGTTGTGTATTGAAGAAGATCAAACTCCAACTAACAAGGGAAGATATCAGAGACTTGTAGGGAGATTGATGTACCTCTCACACCAGGCCAGATTTGGCTTATGTTTTTAGTGTGGTTAGTCAGTTCATGCACAATCCAGGTGAAAAACATATGGATGTTGTTATACAGATTTTAAGGTACATAAAAGCTGCTCCTGGAAAAGGAGTTATGTTCAAGAAGAACTTCAACTACAAGGATGTGATGATTTATACTGATGCAGATTGGACATGTGCTCTTGATGATAGAAGATCAATCTCTAGATACTTTACATTTGTAGGAGGTAATCTTGTCACATGGAAAAGCAAGAAGCAGAAAGTTATAGCTAGAGGAATGATTCTTGGACTTTGTGAAGGTTTGTGGCTCAGATTACTTCTTCAGGATTAGGGTATGCATATACACGTCTCATTCAGTTGTATTGTGGTAATAAAGTTACGCACGACATTACTCACAACCCTGTCTAACATGATCGGATGAAGTATGTGAAGGTTGATAGATTTTTCATCAAGGAAAAACTTGATAAAAATATTCGATCTGAAGATCAGCTGGCAGACATTCTTACCAAAGTTGTGACAAATCAGATTTTTAGGAGATTATTGGACAAGTGGGGAATGTATGACATCCATTTACCAACTTGAGGAGGAGTGTTGGGATTAAAATATTTGATTAGCTAAATTATAGGTTTGTATAACAATACAAAATATTGTATAATCGAACTTCTTTTATTTAGTCCTGATTTTTTTGGAGTAAAATACTATAAGATCATACTATTTATGTACAAAAATAATATGAATAAAATTATAGAATGAATTCTATGTTTTTTAATTAAACATTTTCATAATAATATTTTCAAAAAGGTATCAAAATAGGCTTAATTGGATGGACCGATCCAAAAGACATGTGAAAAAGAACTGTATCTTTAGAAATTTTCCCTGGTCACACGTGTTTCTAATAACTTAGTCTATAGTGTAAAAAAGAACTGTGTCTAAGTCATTTAAAAATTTACCCTGATTATATATGAGTGTATATACCGAATCGAGCACCCTTGTGTTATGTACTTGGGGGAGTTGTGATGTGACTGGTGCAGATCTCTCGATGTCTATCTTAATATATAGTTTTCCAGCTTTTCCAGGAGTCATCTAGTATCTATGTAATATGAATGTGAACCTCTATGATCGTGTGATACGATATATAAAAACTTAAAATTGAATTATGTTGTTTTATTTTCCATTTAAATCTTACATGCTTAAATTGAATTACTAATTTACTATTTTGTATGTATTTTTAGCTGATAATCGTGTGTTTACAAAAGAGTAGATTTTACATATGACCTTGATAAAATAGGTTTAGAATTATGAGTAATATAAATTATATTTTATTTATTTTTAAAGTAATATTATGTTTATAATTTCCTATAAAATTTATATTTTGTGTGTTACATTTAAAACACACCCAACAAATTAAAAGTGAAACAGAATAATAATATAATAAAAATAAGTATTATAATTTTAACTGTAAAATAATAAGGAAATGTAAAAAAGAACATTTAAAACCTCTTGTTAACTGTAACAGATTAATAATAACAAAGGAAACAGCGCGAACCAAGGGCAAAGCAGAAGAACTGAATAAGAATCAGAAACGAAGAAGAAGGTGAGTGCAGATAACCTTGGAAACTTAAATGGCGGAAAAACTAGCCCCTGAAAAGCGTCACAGCTTCATCCATAACGGTACCCTTTTTTAATTTCCGCATCTCTATATCTCCAATTTGGTTCTCTTCTATTCTATTTTTTGTTAATTGAATCCGAATCAAACAAACCCGTATGTTCGTGTGATTTTAGGTGAAAAGGTGTTCGAGTGGGATCAAACCCTCGATGAAGTCAATCTTTACATAAATCTTCCTCCTAACGTCCATTCCAAGCAATTCTACTGTAAGATTCAGTCCAAGCACCTCGAACTTGGCATCAAAGGCAATCCTCCCTATCTCAACGTAACACTAATTTTCCTCCACTTCATATCCTTTCTCAATTTCTCTTGTTGCTTTTTTATTTTATTTTCCCCTTACTTATTTGTGTGTTATTTCTCAGCATGATCTCACTTGCCCTGTGAAGACAGATTCTTCTTTTTGGACCCTAGGTAAAGGGTTAAGCTATCCCTAATTTTTTTTTTCTTTTTGTCCCATGTTGATTTGTGTGTTATTTTTTTTCCCCTTAATCTATTTGTGTAAAAGTTTTTTAGTGCTGTTTATTCTGATCTAATCAGAAATACCATGAAGCCCTACGATAGTGGTACGCACGGGGATACAATATGAATATGTTAAAATATTATAAAATATTTTATGTAGATGTATTGACGAATATAGATGTATTGACGAATATAGAGATATTGACGAATATAACAGAAATATTCCTCTCAAAATTATTAAATTCAGAACTATGATAATCACAATTTTCAAAACGATATTTGTGATCATAACAAGAAAATGTATTTTTTTCTTTTCTAAATCATAATCATTATTTATTAACTGTATCTATAAAAATATATATGGTTGAACTCAGAACTATACAATAGCTTACAATTCGGAAGTATTTCCAAATTTCTATTTAATGTTAATTGTATCATTCTTCTCTCTTCCGTTAGTATCATTAAGGAAAAGAAAACCTTCTAGGTTTAGTTCATGAAGAGAGAACTTTACCAATCCATAGAAATTTAGGTTCTCTTCAAAGAAAAATGAAAAAGTATGTACTTCAATTCCTCCCACAACATAAGGAAGAATATAACTCTTCAAGAAAAACTTTTTTTTGGATACTATTCGGCAGTATCCAAGTCATATCCTTAAAATAATTATGAAGTATTGGGTACTTTTGGGATACACATTCCAATTTTTTAAATATCCTGCCTTCATAGCAGAAACAGCTACGCATTATAAATTTGTTGATTAATTGGTTGGTAGTGTAAAATGTTCTACACACGACAATTAAACTCATTACTTTTGACTTTGGAATCAACTGAGGAAGATTTTGTTTTTGAAAACAATGATGAAAATAAATGTGATTTGTTTTGGTTAAGTTTGTTAATGATGCTGATTTTGGAATTTGACCTACAGAGGATGACATAATGCACATAACACTGCAGAAGAGAGATAAAGGCAAGACATGGGCTTCTCCCATATTAGGTCAGGGTCAACTGGACCCTTACTCTACTGATCTTGAACAGAAGCGTCTCATGCTTCAGAGATTTCAAGAGGAGGTGAGTTTTGCTTTCATCACTATCCTTTTCCAGGTGTTGGGATTTGAAATTCATTTTCAACAATCCCATGATATGTCTTGCATGTGCTTCTGAGTGTCCTTTGCTGTTATGGTCTGAAATTTTTAGTAACTCATTTTCAGTCTTCAACATGCAAAATTATAGAGATGATATTTTCCTTTTCCTCTCTTTTTTCTTGCCAGTTCATCTTTACCTCTCATTTTTGTTTTCTGTGTATTTGAAGAGAGCTTCGTTCTTTTATTTATCATGATAATAAGTCACTCTACTGCATTTGCCCAATGGTTGGGTGATGGTAATTTAAAATCATGCAATTATTTTTTGAAAGCATTTAAAACATTTTTATGGAGGTACCTTCAGGCTTCAGCTGTGTAACATTGCATTGCCAAGTGTATTGCCAGTTTTTACTTCCTGAGGAATTTTATAATTGATTAATTTGGCTCTCAAAAACATGGGAACGTGTTCTGATTATTTTCTTTTTATGTATTGATTATCGGCATCTAAGTCTTCTGCTTGAGTATTTAATTCTTGCGATTCCAACCTTTATCCATACCATTTTAAGATTAGAAAATAAAAAACTTATTACTATTTCTAATATACTTATGTTATCCTCAAGTTTTGATACTGGTCCTATATCAGATCACTAAAATTTCAGTCATTGTCAAAGTTTATGTTTTTTGTATTGGATACATATAATATTACTTCGTACAATACCTAAGTACCTACCTACTAATACTAAGCTACAATTGTTTACTTGGATTCTGAGATATAGTTCTAATTATTTGATGTCACTTGTAGGCTTAAAACTGTTGTGTGTTCTACACAGTAGAAATTAATGAATTTTGTTATGATTGTTTCTAGTCCTGCTACTTAGTAGGCTAATATTATTGCCTTCATTTGTTTTATCTATTGGGCCTACGCATCTAGCTTGCTGGGTTGTGTTCCTCCATTTTCAAAAGTGTGTTTTTTGGTTTATATATATATATATTTCGCCTAAGTAGTGTATAACATTGAGAAGAGGATCTGATAATTAGCAGTATTATTCATTACTGTGTACTACTTATTTGTGGGTAAGCATAATTGACTTTAAAATGAAAATTCTAGTTATTTAGACGGCTGACTACCAACACTTGATATTTTATTGCTAGTTGATGCACTCCCATTTCTTTTAGTGTTTGTTTGTCCGTCCAACAAATGTCAACTTTGCCCAAACAGTTGGCATGAGTTCAACTATAAACATACTTGGCCTGCTCCCATTAGACTTTTTTAAGGATATTCTTGAATTTGGAAGATAATTTCATAATTAGATGCACTGCTTAGATATTGATGTGCATATATGATATTAGATACTTTGAAGTTTATAGTTAATGGTTAATGGGAACTCTGAATCAGGATTTTACATTTTCATTTGGCCATGGCCAAAGTTGTTTATTCTCTTTGTGAATCGGTTTTGTGTTGAATTTTGACACCCCCTAGCAAAAGAGGAAACAAGTACAATGAATTAAAGGTCAACAACTTGTGCACTTCAACTTTTATAGAAGTTCTCTCATCTAACTTCGTTTATAATTGTTGCACAGAACTTGATTTTAATTTATTGAAGAAGTTTGATTTATTTTGCCTTCTATTTTCTTTTCTATATGTGCTTCCAAAGGCTCGGCCTCTAGCTAATTGTTACTAGCTTTCGTATTCTATCCTTCCAATCCCCTCTCATCCTTTAATAGATATTATTGCCATAACTCAGATTACTACCTGTTATCATACGTATATTATCCTTTCTTACTAGAACACATGTTTTCCTTCATGATAGGATAATATCTGTCTGATAAAAGGGTAGTAATCTATGAGTTATGACAATAATATATATTAAACTGGATTTCTAATTTGGTTCAGTATTACACAATTCAGTACGAATCGGATTTTAATAGATATTATTGCCATAACTACTACTGTGTTATCAGACATGTTTTCTTACTAACCTGTTATTGCCATAATATTTCTTACAAAAACACATGTTTTCATATTCGGTTGGAAAAACTGTATTCTGTTATGATAAGATAAGATTAGGAGTGTTAAAAAAATCCAAATCAAATTGAATTGTGCAAAAACCGAACCAAACTGGAAAACCAGTTTAATAGATATTATTCCCATAGCTCATAGAGACTACTACCCTAACAGAATGAGCGTTGAAAACATCCGAATCAAACTCAATTGTGTGAAAATTGAATTTAATTGGAAAGCCAGTTTAATAGATATTATTGTCATAACTCGTATAGACTACTCTACCCTGTTGTCAGTAATACATCTTTTTCTACTGTAAGAGTGTTCAAAAAATATGGATCGAACTGAATTGTGTGAAAATTGAATCAAACTGGAAAACCAGTTTACCTGAACTGAAGTGAACTATTAAACTGTTTGCCCAAATCAAATTGAACTGTTTTATATATATATATATATATATATATATATATATAAAGTTTATTTCAGTTTTCTATAAAAACAATATAGTTTTTTAGTTTAGTTAGATTAGTTCTCAACAATTCAGTTTTTTCCAAACCCCGTTCCTGCCATAGTAAAATTCACAGACATTTTCTGTACAAACATAATAGAATTCCTGATTCCTGAACCTCTACATCTTAGGCTGATGAAGTTGCAATCTGGTCAGGTTCAAGAACTGTCTGTAGCGACAGATAAAGATTGTGTTATACTATTGGTAGCCTTAGCTATGAATCACATTATTTGATTTAGTTTATAGTGGGACAATCTCTCTGTCTTAAACCGCTATTCATTATGATTGTTTCCAGATTTTAAATTCTCTGATAATGATGATCTTATTGCCTCATCAAACCACTACTTCTCATTCCTCCTGCAGAATCCAGGTTTTGATTTTTCACAAGCTCAGTTTTCTGGAAACTGTCCGGACCCAAGGACCTTCATGGGTGGAATCCGATCAGATTGATGATCTTAGATGCTGTAGTGTGTATTTGTCTGCTGTAAGATGATGGTCAGATGGTAATAATGTGGTACTTGTCACCTTATTTGATATCATGTAATTGAGGCAGTCTAATGCACTTCCTCTAATGAATTGATGAGTAACTGTATTTATTTGTGGTATTTGTTAATCTCTTCGCCGACCCTTTTGCATTTAAATATGTATATAAAACATGGAGCATTTGTATAACGTAATAACATAAGATATTTTGAAGTCTTCTATGGATCACCAACCATTGAGGGAGGGAGGGTTGGTTGGTACCGATATAAAATAACAACTTTTAGATTGGATAATACTAAATTTATTTTACCCGTAGATTTATGAAATTATTTTTTATTGTTTTTCTTTCACCGTAAAAAAACTTATTTTTTTATGTAGTTATTCCAAACAATGTTAGTGATAATGGTATTCAGTTTCAAGCATTTTTTTTTTTTTGGAAAATTGGATCGGATTGATTAGTTTAATCGGTTTAATAATCAATTGGTGTAATTGGAAGCTGATATAGAAATTTATCTGGTGTAATTGGAAGCTGATATAGAAATTTATCTTATACTTTTAAATAATTTGATTTCAATTAAAGTGAGATAAATTTATAAAATCAGAAAAACTAATTAATTTTTTTAATCGGGTTTAATAAAAAATTAAGATGAATTTTTTAATATAATATTTATAAAAATATAATATATTTTTATTTATTTATATTAATTATGTTAATTGTAAATAATAGTTATTTCATTGTATTTTTATTTTATTTAAAATATTTTTTACAATATTTTATATTTATAATAATTATTTTTGTTATTTTTAAAAAATATTATTAATAATAAATTTATATATTTCTTATATTATAAAAATATTATTTTATTAATTAGATTTTAATTAAATTTTTAAATTTTGAGTTTATATTCTCACCGATTGAATTATCAATTTTAAAAACATTAATTTAAATAATAAATAAATATTTTTAGCTATTTTAGGAGTTTGGTGTTAAAAATAAACATTATGCTATGTTACTTTTAAAGGTACTTTGAAGTATTCTCATTAAGCTCAAGGTAGTTTCAGCGTTGTCGTTTATTTCGAAAAGACAATACCATCAGAAATTATATATTTGGAAGATTTATTTCATCAACTATCTAAAAATTTATTTTGAAGTATTCGAAACATATTGGAAAAATATAAGTTTTGAATGGATAATTTAGAATATTACAGAATAAAGGTTCTGTTCTGAGAGTATTAACTAATTTGAAATATTATAAAAGTATTTAAAAATTGACATAGGCAATCTATTTTGAAATAATCAGAAACATATTAAAAAAAAGAAAAAAGAACTTCTGGATAGTGCCCTTGCAAACCTTTCACATTCTTTCACTAAGATGCGAACGTGTGATTGAAATGGTCCATCGAACTGCGTGCCAGAGAAGCGATGTCTTCGGTGATGCTTTTCCAATTCACATTTTCTTTTTTTAAGTTTGCTATGATGTAATTCACGAAGTTTACAAGTTCACAGAATATATTACTTTGGAAAATAAAATTCCATTCACACTTGCTATTTATTTCTATTAAACTTTATACATATAATTTACATAAATCTCTTTAATTGTTTTATTCTTTTTCATTATCCATCAAATCAAATCCATATATAATATATTTTAAAAAACATATTTAAATTAAATCTCTTTAAATTTATTTATCTAATTATTTATTATTTGCATAAATAATTTAATAAAAATAAATAATTTTTTTCTCTTTTTTCATGTATATTTTTATTTTATTTTTTTACTTTATTTTATTTTATAATTAAAAATAATAATTTAAAATTTCATAAAATAAATTTCTTATTATTTTTAAAATTACAAATATTTAAATGATCTATTATAATTTAATATATTATATTGAAAAGAGTTATATAATAAATTTGAGATATTACAAATATTATTATTATGTTATAATTATTAGAATAAATTAAATATTTATTTTGAAATAATTTATTTAATAAATATTTTTAAAAATTATCTAATTTAAATAATTATCATAATTTAACTTAATTATATATTAAAAAAATATTTAATTTTTAAATATTTCACTTTTTAATTAGATAAATAATTTTTATTATGATAAAATAATTTTAAATTAACTATTTATATTATTTTAACGAAATTTATTTATAATATTAATAAATAAGATTATTTATTATTCTCATAATTAATATATATTTTCTTAAATGTTATGATTATTTTAAAATATTTGTTTTAACATATTTTTTAATCAATTTTTAATATAAAATATAGTTTATAAAATATTATAGACATTCAAATTGAATAGTGAAATACATATATTAAAATTGGAAAGTCAGATAACCAAACCCTTTTTTTTTTAATTTAAAACATCTTATTTATGAATGTCAATTAGGAAAAGCAAAATCACAGAAAAAAAAACACTAAAAAAACTTGTGTGATAAAAAAATGTTTATAATTTATAAAAAAAAAAAAGTACTTTTTATCAGTGCTTTTTTTTTTAAAGAAAAACAAAATCAACTAATAATGTATTAATATTCAAATATTATGAATATGAAATACAACATAGTTAAAAGAAAAAACCTTACTAAAAGTAATTAATGAAAGTCCTATTTAAAGATCATATAATAATAAATACAATAATTTTTAAAAAATACAGAAGGTTTTCTTCATATATTGCTGATATAAATAGCTGTTTAAAACAATTATCAGAAATAAATATTAATTTACACAGTGGCAAATGTTAGATTATAATTATATTATATAAAAAATTAACAAATTTATATGATATCAATATTATGAATTTATGATTGATATGCAAGAATCTTTTATCTTAGAATGTATAAACTGTCTATTCTTATCAACGTTTAATTTCTATAAATATCATATATTTAAAAAAAACTGTTATCTAATTAAAAATATAGTTGGTTTGACTATTGTTTTAATCAGTTTGTTGAAAAAAAAACTTAAATGCATGTTATCCATTTTATTTATCTGTAACGTAAAAAAGATTTAATTATTTCATAATTCTCCATTTATTAGAACTACGATATATATATATATATATATTAATAGTTATTATTTTTCTTGATATACAAAATAATATATATTCTTTTGTAGTATTGGTTTTATTCTCAAGCTCTGAGATTCTCCCATGCCGTTCCGCCCTCTACACCCATCAACCATTCCCTCTCCAAAATCTCTCCTTTCACCCTCCCAACCAATCTTCGACCCCGTTTTCCTTTGAAGTTTCTTTCCTTCCGCAGGCCTCAGATCCGTTTCGTCCTGTTCGGATATGAAGAACCTGAGGAAGAAGAAGAGGCCTAAGTCCCAGAAGAAGGTTGAGGAGAGAAAAAGAGCAGAAGGGGTTGTGAGGAACGAAGAAGAAAATACAAAGAAAAGGGTTTTAGAGGCATTGGTGGACGCTTTCTCGTTGTCTTCTATGAGGGAAGCTCCCATGGCGTATGACATTGCAGGGGGTAATCCCGACAGGGCTTCGGAGATCCTGAGGAAGGGGTTGTCGGAGGATTCGTATTCGTGTTGCTCTTCTTCTTGCAGTGGTGGAAGCAGTGGCGGCGGGTCTTCTTCTTCTTCTTCGGGGATGGAATTGGGGTTAAAGGAGGAGGGGGAACAGAATTGTGGGGAGGGTGTTGTTGTGGGGGGTTTCAAAGGGGGCAGGCAGAAGAAAAAGGTTGTTGCTTCAACTGGCACTGTTTCAACGGTTTTGGGGAAGGAGTATGTGGGGAGGAACAGCGGAAGGAACAAAGGGTTTAGTGCTAATGATGGAGCTTTTGACATGGAGGAGGCAGAGCAGTTCCTCTGCTCTATGATTGGGGAGGATTGTGATCTTAACTTGGCTGTCGTTAGAGACGTTCTTTGTGAGTAAATTGTCGTATTTGATTTTTTTCTTTGTGTTTTCATTTTCAATTTTAGATTTTGTATACTGAAGACGAGGAATTCAGCATCGTCGCAGGATATGTTGGCTGTGAAAATAAATTACTAAGTTGCATATATATAAAATAAACTTGTGATTTTAATTCTGTAATAGATATAAGTGTCTATACCTGCATACATTATTTGATGTAAAAGTGCGAAAGCTAGTTTAAAAAGTAAAGATAGTATATGTATAAGAACCAAATGAGTAATTGAACCTAAATTTTATTATAGATGGTCTTTTGAGTTTAAACAGAAGTAACATATTCTGTTCCAAAAAGTGATTTGATGTTGCTTTTAGAATTTTGGTCTTTACTTGTGCGTTAAATCAAGCAAGATTGTCTTTGCATAGTTGTTTAAAGCTAGCAAGCAACCTTATTAAAGACATTTGTAAACTTCTTTAAATGAGGTAGTTATGATATTTTGTATAGTAGCATATGTTCTTTTGGTTTATTATTTATTAACTGACCTTGGAATTTGTGTTTGCAGGTCAGTGTGGATATGATATTGAAAGGGTATGAAGCCAATCTGAGATTGTGAAAGTTTTATCCGTAGCACTTGATGTTCTTGTGTTGTTTTCGTTATGCCACTTGTTACTTTTAGTCAGTCAATTGTTTGTCTCTGAACTAAAAAAGGTTTTTTTTGTTGGTTTGTTGGCTTTTTGCTGTTTTTTCGGTGCATATATTTAGAGCAGGATGGTTATATCCTCGGACCCAGCTCGTCAGTTGTGTTTCTGGGATCTCTTTATGGGTGCAGGTTGATTTGAAAGCAATTTTGTCTTAAGTCTTTTGGCTTTTGAGTAGACTTAATATTTACATATCTGAACTGAACAGAATTAGGGAGATAGGAAACAGAGTAAAACAAAGTTGCATTTTTGTAAACATAATGTTTGTTTTTTACTTATTTGGTATAAGGCACAGACTCGTTCAAAATAGTAGCAATGTCGTGTCATAACTGTGTGGTGTATGATGTTGGACATTGCATCATGGATATTTTAAATACTTTTGTTTTATCTTTGTAACTTTTTTGCTTCTATATTTTAATTTTATACCATCTCACCTTGAGTCCCAAAATAATTAGATAAATTTTGGTTTTTTTATGTATATAGAAAGACTCATCCTTTCTCCTGTGGTTTATTTTTATTTTTGTTATGTTCATTGTGTGGGTTGTACCGTAGCCATATTGTGTTATATTTGCATAACATGTTGTATCCAAGCTTCTTTGGTTTGTATAGCACTGCTATTTTGTTTTTGTTTGTTGGCCACTATTTGTGTAAATGGGTAGTAGTGGTGTTATGGTATCTTGCTTCACATCTCTACTAGAATTTTAGGGAGCTACACGATCAAATAAAGTTATGCTAGCTTTGTAATATGATTAGCTCTGAATATGATTTTCCAGGCTTCAAATGTATTGCTTGATTTAGCTGGATCTACACTTAAGAAATCGAATGCTGATAGACATCCCAATTACAGAGTAGACAACATAGATGATGAGAGAATCCTTATTGATCCCAGTGACAGTGTAAGTGGCAGAATAGAATTATGTTTATTACTGATTTATCTTTGAACTGGTCATGTGTTCTCAAAAACTAAGTGATGTGCCTATTGCCTAAGCTACTGCAGTTTCACTACATCATATAGTTTTTATATCATTTGTCTTTTCAACTGTACAGAGTTTCAAAACTGTTGATTTTGGAGGAATTTTAAACTTCATTATCTGTGCCCTTACTGGACATAGTATTGATTGCCAAATTTTGTTACAGTTGATAGACAGGAGATCAGAGTCCACATCTATTTCATCAGATGGTGATATTTCTGATAGTATATGGTCTCTCGGATCCTTTGGAAGGTAAATTATATCAATGTATTTATTATGTTGCCAGTTCATGGTACAGTCATAATAAGTTATGGCCTTTTCTTCCCATTTCTCTCCCATGATGCCCCTCCTTCCAAAAAAGTGAAACTTAGGATCTATCAATGTTAATCTTTTATCTGTGTTTCATCATATCATGATATTTAGCCAAAGAAGTAACCTGGTGATAAAATTATTCAAGGTAAAAACTTGTGTTGGCAATTGAATGTTGCCAATCATTTGTCTTGGATACTTAATATTTAAACTGTATCTTTACCTATACATTTTTTTGTTCTTTAGGTTTTGAAGTGTCTTTATAGAACTACTCAGGGTGCATTCATTTGGATGAAATTCTCTGTTAGATCCACTATGACTGTAATTTTTCCGAGCAGGCCAAACATTTTCGTTCTCAACTCCTTGCATTAAATTGTAGTAAATTCAAACTGGAACCTGAGCTATAATTTTTGCAGAATTCCTGGTAGTCTGGCATCTACCCTTCAAATAAAAATATAAATTTACGCATTCCACTTTTGTACTAACTGAATTAATGATATAAGATTGGGCTAGCGAAGACTAGCGTGGTAGTTTGCATGTTCATGCTCAACACCACTATAGTACCAAATTTAGAACAGAATTGAACTTATTATTTTTAATTTTGGTTTGCCTGTTACTTTACCCTACTATTCCAGCATTTACTTTTAGTCCCTTTACCCCTTCCTGCATTGAAATCTCCACATCATCTTAAACAATGATCTTGTTATTTGGAACCTAACTCCACTAGCTTAGTTTGTTTTTGGTTTTAGGAAATATGCGGAGGTTCTCTCTAATTCTAAAGCTGATTCTGCTATTAGCTCGGAATGTGCAAAGTCTGATATTCCTCAGAAGGTGTTGGAATCTTTGTTTAACTTTCCCAAAAGCACTGAACATAACACAGATACCATGAATTGGAGAAATGTAGTAAAGAAAATTCAGTCGTTGGGGCCTGGGTTCAATGTTTCCCCACATGTTGCAGAATCTCAGCAACGTACTTATGGTACATAATGGCAATTTTAAAATACTTGCACCTACTGACTTATCTTGAACAATATTTGTTGATTACTGCTTTTGTCGTTCCATTTTATTATTCTAAAGTAGTTGGCTGATTTTAAGTAATTTCAAATACTTTTATGATCTGTTGCAACCTCATATCTCCTTCTGTTTTATTTTTTATCATGACTTGAAATGGGACTTGGTTGGTGGTTTTACTGGGTATGTTGGATTGAAATTACTCATTTTAAGGATTAATTAAATTAATATGGTCGAGTTACCTCTCTATTTAGTGTGGCCAGGTGGCTTGAGTGCTTGCCATCCTTGGCAACCTGAGCCAGAGCAAGGAGGATAAATCATGCATTTTTGGCAAGATTACCTATGCTACATTGGTAGAGTTTGTTAGAAAAGGTTGGATCTTGGTGAATATTGCCTGAAAATGTGGGATGGGACCTTCTCATACACATTGTCCCGTGGTCTCTGATTTCAATCAATAATTAGGAGTGGTGCAAGCATTCAAGCAATGCTTGTGGTATGTTGCATTCAAGCACAAGTATCACAATTGTGCGATTTTGGTCCTTCTATTGATACTGTTAAATATTTACCAGATTTTGTTCATTTGTCACTGTATGATGGTATGGCAACTGTTATGTTGCCTGACATATATGCTGACATGACGAAAGAAACCAAAGGTGTAATTAAGCCATGATAGCATATCTATGAGGCTTAGATTTTGCATTATAATCCAATATAAGGAAGTAATATATGTTTTGTTTAAATTAATTTATAATCAGAGTAAGTCTGCTTGTTCAAAATGCCACTCTTTAGTAGCCTTTCCAACAAGCACACTTTCTTATTGTATATCCCGCCATGACAGTCGCTTGTTAATTAGTCGTTTTGATTATCTTTATTTTTGTATGCTTCAATTTGATGGTGTCCATGATGCTATCGAATTTGAACCATGACAGTTCATTTACTTCTTTCTCTTTTCTAATTTTTAGCTAAGGGAGATGAATATCATGTGTTCAGGGAAGATTCAAAGCAGCAGTGGAATGCGGTGAAATCTTATTATACGAAGGTAAGTTAACATTTGGCCTTTTATTGGGATTATTTCACTGTGATGTTTAAGCCAGTTTACTATTGAGTACAAATGTCAGTTGAGAAAATACAATGGTGATTTTATTTTGCAGGCAGCAACAGCGTACACCAAAGGGAATGGAGCTTATGCTGCATATCTTTCTGACCAGGTTTGTTCTTCTTAAAACCAAAGAATTTTGTGTGGAAAACATTAGACTCTTTTCCCTATTAATTGAGATGTTTATCCTTAATAATCTTTGTGAAAGTTTGTCTTTTCATCTGATTTATCTTCTATGATATAGCTGGTATATTTTTCCATCTAAAATATTGATCAATCTTGGTAGGAAATTTTTTTCTTTCCGTTTACTTTATCATTTCCTCCGCATATGTTAAAGTATTTGAAAATGTGGAATTGAGATCCCAATGCAACCTGGCCTTGTCTTTTCCTCTTTAAAGTGTTTTATAGAAACAGTTTGAATAATTTTTTATGTTTAGGTGGGATATTGACTACTTGTGTGGTGATTTATATGTACACTATTCATATATTTTAGAATAATCACGGTACTTTTTGGCCGTCTATTGTTTTGTTTCATAAAATGAATTTTAAACGATTTGGTTTCTTATAATACATGAAAGAATCTTTGTGTTTCGTATCACCTTTACGACTGAACAATTCATGTCTTTACTTTTTCACCAATTCTCATGAAAAAAATTAGGGGGTAATATTTTTAAATGAAGAGGAATTTAAAAGAACACTTGTCAAATTATTGAATTTGATTATTCCACCTTTATCTGTCACACACTCATTCAATGTTACATTCTTCTATATGATATATTTGAAGTAATTTTTCATAGTACCTAAATCTTACGATTCACTACAAAATCACAATTAAATTATTCAAAAAATAGCTTGGCAAATCACAATTTGAATCTTAATTCGGTAACCTTGACATTAACTGTATTTTGTCAGAATCTTTACAATCGGTGCTTTGTTATATGATGCTAACTATTTCTATGTCGGACTAGGGTAAAGAACAGACTAAACTAGCTCAGAAAGCAGACACTAGGGCCAGCCATGACATATTTGTAGCTAGGTTAGTGGATTTCTTTTAAGTCCAAAGCCAGAGATCCTTTTTAACATTTGCCTCATTTACTATTGCTCTTACTAAGCTACTGTTACTGATATCTGCAGAAACAAGGGTATCGAAAACGTGATAACTATTGATTTACATGGGCAGCACGTGAAACAAGCAATGAGAATGCTGAAACTTCACCTTCTGTTTGGATCATATGTTCCCTGTAAGCATTTCTGAGGCCCTAGGTTCTCACATGTTCTCAAGACTTTTATAGACTAAACCAACATTAAATTATTGAATTGCATTTGCATATGTATTTACATTTGTTTGCTCTATCTGATTGCCTTTATATCTCTGCTTCAGCTGTCCAGACACTAAGGGTTATCACTGGATGTGGATCTCATGGTTTTGGAAAGTCTAAGCTGAAACAATCAGTATGGTTTAATCCACCCTCTTCTATTCCATCTTCTATGCTCTTATATCTAGTGTGAAACAGTGTTCAATTATTTACATGTTGGCCAATATATTGGAACTTGTTTATTAAAAAGGAAATTGACTTGTTTCAAAATGGTGGTTTATTTTTCTTGTGATTTGGTTAACACAGGTTATAGACCTTTTGGAGAGAGAAGCAATTGAATGGAGGGAAGAGAACCGCGGAACTGTGTTGATTAAGCTCAACCAACGGACAGAGTATAGCTTCCTGGACAGCAACAGTGACAGTGATAGTAATGATTGATTAAGGATGTTGTATAAGTTAGGTGAATAAGTTAGAGATGTTGTACCATATTTTAGATCATTAGTCTGGCCAAAATAAATAAGTTAGAGATGTTACATTGACATGTACATTATGTTAGCCAGCTAGATCTTGGAACATGTTGGTCTATCATCATGTACAACCTGTAGCTCTGTTTGAGTTGGGTTGTACCACTCAGAATTGCATTCCCAGAGTTGGCTAATCACCCAGCGGTGTGAATATGTAAAGATATTTAATTTAATTTTCAGGGTTCTTTGGATTTAAGTTTGGTTTGACCCTTAAACTCCGAAGTTAACAACTCCAAGTTTACGAACTCTTGCAATTTGAGCTGAATGAAATCGTTTTTTGGTGAGCTCTGATAAATTTGGATGGTGACTTTAACTCCCCATGTTCAACTGAATGTCATTGATTTGTACCTGTCTTTTAGATCTCATGTGTTGTGTTGAGATCTCAAGGTAACTGTTGATATAATCAAAATAGTATATATGAAGAATAATTTTGCTCATAAAGTTATCTTTTGGAATGGTCTAAAATTTAAATGTTTATATGGTATCAAATTCTAGCATGCTGTTATCGGACATTTAACACACGTTTTTTGTCATGTGAATTTTTTTTTTTGTTCAAAATGTCTATATCTTTTGAAGAAGTCTATAAAAATTTATATAAACTAATATCTTGAAATGGTTTTTGGACTACATTGAGTCTAAGTCCATATTTTAAGAACTGGTTTTTGCATGTGACTCATACAACCTTATAAACTATTCTTGTAATTTAAGTGTGACTCTTAATATCTCACTACTCATTATATATTATTATTGTAAATTAGTTTTTTCAGAAACATGATTTTTTACAATGTTTGTTTTCCTTAAAATCAAGTTTAACCTTTGCCCGAATCTTGTAATAAAATATTTTTGAGTAAAACTAGTTTTTCTCACCAATTATAGACCAAGGTTTTGCTCCACCAAATTTTAGGATCAATACAATATTACTAGCACTGCTCTTAAAACAACTGATCCAGTCCAGATATTATCGTTGTTTTTATGTTTATTTACTAAATTTGAAAAAAAAATATCATTTTTAATTACACAATTATACTGAAATATTTAACGTAAATCCAAATTTATCCATCCACAACAGTTATATAGTTAAAATTAAATATTAAAGCTAAATATATAAAAGCACATCTTTGACAGACTTATCTCTATAAACAAATTTTAACAATCTTATTTAATGATCTTATTTTAAAAAACAAGGTAACCTAAAAAATTTACATTTTTATTTTATGAAATGAAGAAAGCTAAATCTTTTAGTCTATGAAATTAGGTAATCATATATAAATACCTAATATTATATTGATTAAGAATATTAGTTAAATTCATTTAATATGCTTGATTTCATGTAACAGAGAGATAAGGTTTTTAAATTATGTAGTGCCCTTAATCGTATTTAAATAATAACGACATTTTTTAATATGAAAGAAATAATAACTTTAATTGGGATTAAGTCAAATGGAATTTGTTTATATTTAGGTCCACTATATATATCATTCTTCTTCATTTTTTAACTTTTTAAGTCTAGAAATAATTCATATTCTCTAAATTGTTACCTGAACAAGAAAGAACATGAAAATGAAAGTTAAGATCCTCCACATTAAGGGATGCCGCTTAGGGGGAAACTTCTACTGTCATAAACATAAACTAACCATAGACCAGCCTATTAGCAGATGCTTATGAAAGCCAAAGCTAAGTAGTCCGTAGACAGAATAAAAAACTGGAAACACCTTCAACAAGTCCTGGTTGGGAATGGAGATGTACATTTATAGTGGAAGTTCACCGCTGTCGGCAATAACAACCTTGCTCTTGGGAGTGCCACTTTGCCTTCCTTCAGCTTCAATCTTGTAAACAACATCCATTCCAGATATAACTTTACCAAAAACAACATGCCTTCCGTCCAACCTATTAAACAGATAAATACCATAGAAACTCGTTATTAGTAGCTAGTAGTTTCTTAAGGCACATATGGTCACAGGAAATACAGCCTTTATAATCGATGTATGTCAAAATATCATAGCAAGTCAAAGTACTGTGCACACTACAAATTTGTTATACTTTAAAAAAAAGGCTTAAATAAGTTTTAAGACCTCAATATATTATGTAATTTTATTTTGAATACCCAATAAATTTTTCGTCAAATAGAATATTTAATAAATTATAAAATATTTTATCAAATGGTTACCTATTTTGATAAATACAAGTAAGAGAAGAGACTTAATATATATTATTCAGCACTCTATATAGTCTAAGACATGTTTCAACTTAACAGATATATGGGTAGCATAAGTGACGGAGATAATGTTAAAAACTTAAACCAAAATTTTTAATTAAAAGTATCCAATTTGATGGAAAAATATATTCGGTAATCAAAATAAAAATCGGTTATGAACTTATGTATTAGGGATCTAAAACTAAAGCGTTGATGAAAAAAGAGAAAAAAATAATTTAGAAAGCAGTACAACATAAGATTTTTGTTGAATATAGAGAAAATATGGTTTGGAATTAATTTCCCTTGTGTATAAATCACACATAGGGTAGTCTATTTATAGTAGAGATATACAACTAAAAGAGTAACTGAAAGTAACAGAATAAACAGAAGATATTGTTTGATATTGTGGTTACCAATATCTAACAATATCTTAACAATATCAAATAATATATAAACAATATCTAACACTCCCCCTCAAGCTGGAGCATACAAATCGTATGTGTCAAGCTTGTTACAAATATAATCAATTCTAGGACCCCGTAAAGATTTAGTAAAAATATCTGCTAACTGATCACTTGAGTTAACAAACTCGGTCTTGATATCTCCAGACATAATCTTTTCTCGAATAAAATGACAGATCAATCTCAATGTGTTTGGTCCTCTCATGAAAGACGAGGATTAGAACTAATATGAAGAGCAGCCTGATTGTCACACACAAGTGTCATTTGAGTGACATCTCCAAATTGTAACTCTCTAAGCAATTGCTTGAGCCAAACAAGTTCACGGGAAGGCTGAGGCCATAGCTCTATATTCTGCTTACGCACTTGGATCTTGCCACAACACTTTGTTTCTTACTTTTCCATGAAATCAAGTTACCACCAATGGAGACACAATATCCAGATGTAGATCTTCTATCCGAAGGAGATCCTGCCCAATCGACATCCGAGTAGCAAACAACTCTTGTATGGTTATTAGAAGCATATAACAATCCTTTTCCAGGAGATCCTTTAATATACTTCAAGATACGAATGATCTGCATTCCAATGATCTTCACATGGTGAATTAAGAAATTGACTTACCACACTGATCGCAAAGGAAATGTCGGGACGAGTAACTCGTAAGATAATTCAATTTTCCAACCAATCTTCTATACTGCTCAGGATCAGATATAGGCTCCCCCTGATTTGGTAGAAGTTTAGTATTGGGATCCATGGGTGTATCAACATACTTTGAACTCATCAACCCAGTTTCCTCCAAAATATCTATGGCATATTTCCTCTGAGATATAACAATACCATCATTGGACTGTGCTACCTCAATACCCAAGAAATATCTAAGTTTGCCAAGATCTTTGGTCTGAAAATGGTGACAAAGATGTTGTTTCAACTGAGAAATGCCATGGTTGTCACTACCTGTAAGAACAATATCATCAACATATACTATCAAGTAAACACATCCAGCACTCGAGTGTCGATAAAAGACAGAATGATCTGATTCACACCGAGTCATACCAAATTGTTGAACAACCTTGCTAAACTTTCCAAACCAAGCCCTAGGAGACTGTTTTAGGCCATATAGGGATTTGCGAAGACGACATACCATCCCGGAAGACTCCCCCGAGCAACAAACCCAGGAGGTTGCTCCATATATATTTCTTCTTGCAAATCACCATTGAGGAAAGCATTTTTAACATCCAGATTGATAAAGAGGCCATTGTTGAAGAGCAGACCATGGCGATAAATAAACGAACGAAGCCATCTTTGCCACAGGGGAAAAGGTATCTCCATAATCCAACCCAAAAATTTGAGTATAACCTTTGGCCACAAGACGAGCTTTGAGGCGATCAATAGTACCATCAGGTCCAACTTTGATAGCAAACACCCACCTGCAACCAACAACATATTTCCCAGACGGTAACGGGACCAATTCCCAAGTTCCACTATTATGAAGAGCACTTAGTTCATCTAACATGGCCTGACGCCAACCAGGATGGGCTAAAGCTTCACGAACAGTTTTTGGAATGGTCACAGAAGAAATAGAGGAAAGACATGTATAAAAAGGTAATGACAGTCGATGATAACTCAAAGCAATATAATGGGGAGAGGGATTACGTGTAGAACGAATACCTTTTCGGAGGGCAATGGGAATGTCAGACTCATGTGTCAGATCCGGAGGAGACAGAGTAGTTGGCACTTGAGTAGAGTCACATGGTGGTGGTTGTGATTGGTTTCGAGAACTATAAATCTGAAGAGGCAGTGGAGAAGAAGCTAACTGCGGAGCAGGAACTAATGGTGAAGAAGACACAATTAGAGGGTCACAAACAACAGGAACATTAAATGTATTAGGAGTGTTGACAAGATTGGATGGAGACAGAGGTGAAGTTTGACTTTTAAAATAAAGAGACAACTCATCAAAGGTGACATCTTTTGACACAAAATAACGGTTAAGAGAAAGAGAAAAACATTTGTATCCTTTTTGTGATCTTGTAAACCCTAAGAAAACACATTTATGTGATCTAGGAGAAAGTTTGTCCGGACTGAGAACTAAAATTATGAACAAAACATGTAGACTCGAAAACTTTCGAGAGGTAAAGGATGAAGTGGTTCATGAGGGAATAAAATGGAATGAGGTATTTTATTATCTAAAACCGAAGAAGGCATGCGATTAATGAGATAACATGCGGTAAGAAGAGCATCACCCCAAAAATGTTGAGGAACATCTCCATGAATTAAAAATGTGCGAGTTGTTTCAATAAGATGTCTATTTTTACGTTCGAGCTACACCATTTTGTTGAGGTGTATAAGCACAAGAAGTTTGATGCAAAATACCGTGAGAAGCCATGAATTGTTTAAAAGAATGAGAAAGATATTCACGGCCATTATCGAGTACGCAAAACTCTAATAGAAACACCGAACCGAGTTTGAATTTCATTAAAAAAGTTTGAAAGATATGAAATAATTCGAACGATTTTTCATCAAAAATAACCAAGTGCATCCGGAATAATCATCAATGAAAGTAACAAAGTATTGAAAACCTAAAGTAGACTTAACGCGGCTAGGTCCCCAAATGTCGAGTGAACCACGGCAAAGGGGACGAAGCACCACGTGTGAAACTACGAGGAAAGGAAGTACGACTATGCTTGCCTAATTGACATGACTCACACGCCAAACTAGATAAGTTAGACAAGGCAGGGACAAGTTTCCGTAACTTGGCAAGACTTGGATGACCTAACTGAGCATGAAGAAGAGAGGGAGACTCCATAAGCTGTACTAACATGTGTAGAGGGACGGAGATAATAAAGACCATGAGACTCACATCCTGTGCCAATCACCTGTTTCGAACTCCGGTCCTGTAAACACACCGAATTGTTGGTAAAAGTAACAACACAATCAAGAGAACGAGTTAGACGACCGATGGACAACGAGGTTAAAAGGAGACCCAGGGACATAAAGAACATTATCAATGGTTAAAGAAGGAAAAAGTTTAACCGTTCCAACACCATGAGATGATACTCTAGAGCCATCGACCGATGTAATGAAGGTAAATGATTAGGAGAGGATAAAGAGGAGAACAAAGATTTGTTACCAGTAATATGATCGAGTGGCTCCTGAATCAAAAACCCAAGGACCAGGAGAAAATGATTGGGTCGGACCAGACAAAATATGTATTTGTATGTGTGACAGATATAGTGGAACTAGAAGACTGTTGATCCTTATACCATTCGAGAAATTTGTTGAACATAGCGGACATGTCGGATGCAACAGAAGAAGGAAGATCCCCTATAGATAAAGGTGGGGAAAGATTGGTCTGAACAACTACAGCAGACTGAGGAGGACGACCATGTAATGTATAACACTTGTTAATCTTGTGACCTAGCTTGCCACAATGTTCACACTTAGGACGTCCTTTTTCCTGTTTGCGAGGGCGAGCCCGGTCATCACGATGGGATGTCAACACAAAAGAATCGTTAACAAAATTGGAAATAGTGGAAGAAGTCATGAAGAGCGGGAGAACAAACCCTGACCGAGACAAGCAAAATCATATGTCACCGGTAAAAAAAAAATGAAACTCCGGCGAATTCTCCGACAACGGCGGACCGGAGAGCTGCTCCAGCGGCAGCGGTGACGATAACGTGAACTAGTACACTAGGTAAGTTCCCAGGAAAGAGAGGTGGGTCACTAATGGACACACTTAAATACCAAGTCTTTCCTTGTCGAACTTTCCTAAACATGCACTTTCACACTACCAAATAAAATTCAATGACAAAGATAATTCTTTTCGATGTGGAGGATCGGCTTACCGGCAGCGGTGGGGCGGCTTTAGCAGCGGTGGGGAGGCTCTAGCAGCGGTGGGGCGGCTCCAACAGGTGGACAAAAGGCGGAAAAAAAAATTCAAGAGAACCTTAAGCTCTAGATACCATGTTGAATATAGAGAAAATATGGTTTGGAATTAATTTCCCTTGTGTATAAATCACACATAGGGTAGTCTATTTATAGTAGAGATATACAACTAAAAGAGTAATCGAAAGTAACAGAATAAACAGAAGATATTGTTTGATATTGTGGTTACCAATATCTAACAATATCTTAACAATATCAAATAATATATAAACAATATCTAACAATTTTGATATTTATTTTCTTCTGCAAATATATTGATCTAGATTCAATTACCAACTAGTTGTCACAGTTGTGATGAAAAATTGAGAACCGTTGGTATCAGGACCTGCGTTCGCCATTGACAGAAGTCCTGTTCATGCATTAAATAACAAAAAACCTTTAATCGCATCATAGATTCATTTGAATTTATGTTTAACAAACAACTATAACAATTAAAGAATATTACCTGGTCCAGTATGCTTTAACTTGAAGTTCTCATCAGCAAACTTCTCTCCGTAAATTGATTCTCCGCCCATTCCATTGCCATGTGTAAAATCACCTCCTTGGATCATAAAGCTAGGAATAATTCTGTGGAATGAGCTACCTTTGTAATGGAGAGGCTTTCCACTTTTACCAGTCCCCTTTTCCCCTAATAATTTGGATAAAACAAGATGAAAAATGTAAATATATGTATTCAGGATATAATATATACGTAAGATGAACGTATGCACATTTTGAATTCAAACAGTGATATCATTATCTAATGTTTAATTGAGAAAGGGAGGAGGAAAATTTATTAAACTTAATTATCACTGAAAAGAACAAAGTGAATAAAAATTCACTCTAAGAACTCAACTATGTTCTGCTAATAAATCTGTCCTCAATATGTTCTCATCAGTAGAGCAGTCTAATTACAGGTCAATTGTTACTCATTGAATGAATTTATTTATTCTAACACGGCTGAACATGAAACTCAATAAAATGATTGAAACGATCTCTAACTATTATATGATAAAAACAATACATAGAAACGCAGAAAAAAGCTCACCTGTGCAAAGAGCTCGGAAGTTTTCTGCAGAAACGGAAATCAGAAAAGGGCTTCAGCTAACATTAACAATGATAATTTATAAGAATCAAATGCAGAGAATTTAAAACCCAACCTGCAGTTTTTGGAACGGCCTTCCCGAAAAGACCAATTACAATACGACCTGGAAAGTCAATCATCATAGCATAAATACCAAAGGTCAAAATATCATACTCAAAATTCTGGGAAAAGGAATGACGAAACTTCAACAAAGTGATGATAGAAGGGCAAAATCCCACCATATAAAATGACAGTACGCCTATAATGCCAACATGGCATGCCTCCCTTTGCTTACCATGGCGGTTGGCAAAATATCTGTCTTGGCAGCTATGGTGCCGCCATTGAACAACAGAGCACTAACTTATCTATATCAACTATAGTAGAAGTGGACTGTGAACCCAGGTGAATTTTACATGTCATTTGAGTTGCCATTCTGGGGAGGATTTTACCTAATCACCATCCCCATTACAACTTTAGCTATGAGGATACCTGATCAAGGACAAAAAGAACGATACCTCTAACAAAACAACTAAGTTCTCCCTAGACTCTACCAAACCAAGTTTACAGATATAGGGAATTCTGATCATTTAGAATTGCTATAAGGATTCATTATTAAGCAAAAAACCGTCACACACTCCCAGTTCCATTACATAACCACAACATCCAAAATCACTTCCACAAACCAAATATTAATCAAACTTCTTTAACAAATATTTGACCTATCATGAATCGCAATTCCTCCATCATAGGTAGACTGTTGGTTAAATAAGTTTGTTTAATATTTGGTCATGGGAAATTATTCCCTTTAAAGTGTGTGTGCAACATTACTCAATTATAATTTTAGAAGGTATATACTACTACAGCCTAGGCAGAAATAAGTTTACCCAATCATCTATCATCTCACTTCACTTTGAATCAAATCCTCGAAATCAAAACGTAGACACAACACACGACTGAATAAACGGCATTAAAAAAATCAAGCTTAGAGACCTGCAGCTTTCCCATCAATCTCAACATCAAAGAAAACCTTGTTGGTCACTTCCTTCAATTCCTCCTTCGATTTCTTTGCCTGTGAACCCACACATTGACCAATAGTTAAAAATTATAAATAAAAAAGGAAGCAGAATTAAAACTTGTACCAAACCCAATTCCAATTCAATAAGTTCTATAGCATGGAATTTTCTTCTCGATCTCTCAAGCTCAACTATTGGCCCATTCCCTTGATCCCAGAGAGATCGGAGTAAATGTAAGTTTGAATACGGAAATTAAGACCTGGGTAAGAGCTAGGATTCCGAAGAGGAATAGCGTACAGAGCAGCATCGACGTCGTTTTCGCCATCTATGATCTCAGTTTCGCCTCTACTACAACTCCGACAATGAGAAACTGCAAAACGTTGGGGACTGTCCTTTTATATGAGTTCCAAGTTGTTATTTGTCATCTCAGCAAATGAACGATTGACACGTAAGCATTTCTCTGAAATTGTTTGATCTCATTGGTTATTTACCTGGGCCTTTATTCTAAACCCTTTCCATTTTGGGCCATTACTTCTGTTTCCACCAACCTATTCTGGCTATTGTTGTTTGCATCTCTCTTTTTAACTTCTACAATCCTTTCGCTTCAATATTAATTTAGATTATTAGATCAAGGTCATTTTAAAACAAATTAATAAAATAAATAAATTTCAAAAAATTATAAAATTGAGTAAATAGTATTCTATAACACAACTTTAAAATAAATAAAAAAACATACAATTTTAATATTAAACTTTTTTTAGTGTGTTAAATAGTACAATTTTTACATAAAACATATGTAAAAATTGTACTCTTTTAATTTTATATTATTATAATTATTAGTGTATTATTATACTATTATAATTAATAATAATTTTTTATATTATTATTAAAATTAATAATTATTATATTATTTTATTACGTACGTCTTCTATTTTTTACTAACACTGTCGTTATTTTCTACCACTTCAGACCATCTTGTGTCACAAAATAAAAACAATAAAAATTGGTGAGTTGAAGTGAGTTTTATACCACAACCTTTGCAATTTTTTCTTTTGACAATTTTATTACCTTTGGATGAGTCGGATTTTGTAAAGAAAGTAAGCTTCCAAATAAACGATTCTACTTTTAACATCACAAAATATTCCAAATGTTCTCTTCAAAAAATTATTTGTTTCACACAATCATAATAAAGTCGTAGGTTTTTTTTCATGGACATAAATTATTTTATTAGTGTCTCCCATATATTCAAACTAATTTGATTCCGCTAGAAAAAGAATTGATTAAAAATTATTTTTACCTAAAATTCAATTTGAAGAATTATATGATGATAAGTGCTTTATAAATACTATTAGTGTTTTAAGATTATCAAATATTAAATTTTGGAAAAGCGTTTTAGAAAATTTTTGTTCTAAAACAACGGTGGGAGGTTAATAAATATTTATATGTTTCTCTTGTATTTTGTTTATTATTATTATTATTATTATTTCATAAAATAGTGTTTTATTTATAATTTCACATTATAAAGAAAAATGAAGAAAATAAGTTTTAAAGAGAGAGAAATATCACTGAATAATTGAGGATATTTCGAAAAGAGAGTAGATGAGAAAAAAACAATTATTTGTTAATTAATTTATTAGCTATATTATAAAAATAAAAAAATTATAATCATAGGAAAGAAAGTGAAATATTAAGATAAATAAAATATTGTTATAGGTAAAAAGTTTGTATGAAATTATAATCATAAGAAAATAAAATTACAATAAACAACAATTTTATAGTTATTAGTTAAAACTGAATTAATTAATCCATTCCATCTGTTATTTGGAGGGAGTAAATTTGGACTCCCCCACCAAAATTAGGAATAAAGTGGATTCCATTTAATTTAATTGAACTTTATTCTATTCAAATGCTGCGATGGAATGTGTGCAAAAGTAAAAGTTGATATGCTCTTATAAAAAGTGAAAAAGTAAAAGATGATCTGCTATTACTTTTCTTTTTCTTTTTATATCAAAGAGAATCGAATTGAGTCATGAAGGGGGCAAAGTGCAATGGTGTGTCCAATGAGTTCAATGGAGTCTCTCCATGATGTTGAGAGAAATTTGTTCTACAACCAACTATCGTACCATGCTTTCATGTTGCTCACAAAAAGAGAAGTTCAAATAATTATTTATTTCATTATTATTCTTTTCAGGTTATTATCTTCAGGTTGAGAGGGATGGAAGAAGAGTAATGTGCTGATGATTGATTCTATTCACAGTTGCAAGCAGGGGAAACCAACATGAAGAAGCTTCAAATCATGATATCAATCATAAGGTCTTATCGAACACAAGCTTTACTTCATTAGCTTCTTGTTCTTTTCTCTCCATTTTCCCCTCGGTTAACTTGAAGATTTTGGAATGCTGATTTTCGTTTTCTTCTTAGCTTGCATCTTGAAACTGAAATGATATTGCGTTGTCGGTGAAGTCTGCACGATGGAATCCCATTCATATTATAATTTCAAAAGTTTAAAACTTTTCGGTTGAATATAACCTCAACACGCTATAATCTCAGTACGTTAGCTACATAAATATTTTTTCTTTTCTTCCGGATCTTATGCACAATCTTTTTTATTAAAATAAAATTATATTCGTATCTTGTAACAACATGCAAATTGATTTTTGGAAAGTTTTTCTATGCAGTGTTGTATAATTTCAAAAAACTAATGTAAAATGTTACTGTTGGAATTTGAGTTGAGATTTTATTTTTAAGTAGAAATAAGAAAACTAAGTTAACTGAAATAATCTTATTATTAATTTTATTAATAATATATTAAAATAAAAGTTTTCTTATCTAATTAGACTTATTTATTGTTAATACATCAAATTTAATAATAAAAAAATTGGTCTAAATTTTTTTCATTTTTTTCTTATTATTCTTTTTCTCTTTTTTTTATCCATTTTTACTCTTCTCTCGTTCGATTCTATTCATCTCATTAAAAATATTATATTAAAATGTGATAAAATTAGTCTTTTATTATTTAAAAAAATAAAAATTATTTAAATTATTTAAAAATAATATAAGTTAATATATTATATTTTAAAAAATATTATATAATAAATTTAAGGTATTACAAATATTATTATGTTATAATCATTAAAAAATTAAGTAATTATTTAAAATAAATTTTTTAATATATTTTTATTCAATTATCTACTCTACTTTGATTAATCATCATTTTTCTACTTAATAATAATTGGATTAAATTATTAAATAAAAAATACATTTAATTTATAAATATTTAATATATATTTTTAATTAGACGAGAAATTAATTTATCATGATAAAATTATTTAAAATTAATTATTTACTGTCAAAGTAAACAATTAATTTTAAATAATTAATTAATATTTTTTAATTTTAATATTGATTTTAAACAATTTATTCTAAAATATTTTTATTAAATTTTAATATAATAATTTTAATTAGAAGAATAAGTGAAAAAAAGAGAAATACAAGAAATTGATATAACAAGACAAATAAAAAAATAAAAATAAATATAAAAAGGAGGAGTAAAAATATATGAAATAATGAACCAGTTGATTTGGATAAATAAATTGACAAAAAAATATTTAAGTAATTTTTCTTTTAAATTATATTATTTATATGATTGATTTAGAGGAGACTAGTAATTTTATTTATAAATATATTTTAATTTATCTTTAAAAATATCCAATAATATTAAAATTAATGATTACCAGATAAATAATGTATAAAAATAATAAAAAAAATCACAATATTAATATTAGTGACTTGAAAATATCTAACATGAAATAATAAAGGTAAAACATATAAAGAATATTATTAAAATATAACAATTAAAAAATGTATATAAATAGACATAATTTACGGTATATTTTAAAGTTTTACTTTAAATTAATATATCTATGATAGGTAAATAAGTTTGGTGAATAATTATTTTTATCAAATATCAAATATAAACCATTTTCTAACTTGAGTTTAAACATTTAACAGTTGAAATGCAAAAAGCATGAAATAGAAAATAAATAATGAAAATGAAGGCAATGACATAATGACTCCAGGTTGTTGCATAATAAGGAAAACCAATTGAGTGCAAATCACGTTTGTGCAGAGTGTGTGTATCCAATCCATGCTTTGCTTCAAAGTTTTCCAAAGTAAAGTAAAACAAAAAAATAAATTGGCCCTCTTTCTCATATGAAAGTTTGACTTTTGATTAGTATATAATGACCAAATGGTGGCAGGATTTCAATTTATAATTTTTTTATGTAAATATCCAATATTTTTTCTAATTCTGATGAGTTATTTTTTGTTTGACTTTTTGTCTGTATGTTTTATTTATTCATCTTGATATTTCTCATTAATAATTTGTAATCTTTTTATATTTCTAAAAGTAATAAGATTAAAGTGATTAAAGGAGATTTTCTTTCAAAAAAATTTTGAGACAAAGAGTAATCAAATTCCTTTTTTGTTGTAAAGGAAATCAAGAAAGAAAAAGAATTGGCAAACAGAGTATAGAAATGAGTATTTTTCTAATTTTTTTTTAATGAAGAAGGAAAGAGAGAAAAAGATGAAGTTATTCATGAAATATATATATATATATATATATATATATATATATATAGTGTATATATATATATATGTACATATATATATATATATATATATATATATATAATAAGAACATGTGCAAATACACCAAGAGTTGACAAGGGTAATCATTATTTAATATTTAGCATTAATTAACTATATATAAAAAAAATCATGACCTGTAAACTATACTGAAGTTTCGTCACAACTACGAGACACATGAAAAGAAAGAAAAACAAAAAAATGACTTGTGGTTGGTCACACACATATATAAAATCTAAGCTTGTCAACCTTAGAGATTACATTTTTCAGGTACAATGTATCCATTAGAATCACTCCATGATGGTGAGAGAAATGATTTTAACAACCAAGTATCATACCATGCTTTCATGTTGCTCACAAGAAGAGAAGTTCAAATAATTATATATTTCATTATTATTTTTCTTCGGTTATCATCTAACTTTTGAATCAGGTTGAAGAATATACATGAGCTGATTCTCATGCTTCTGCACCTTCTTCTTCTTGTTCTGTAGCTGCAACCCCTCTTGTTATTCCATCTTCCTTCATTTCTCCATCTAATCAGAGACGAGACCATGAAGGAGCAAACTGTGGCATGGCATCCAACAAAACCAGCTACAAGTTTATTGGATCAATATTTTAGACGTCACTGTGGCAGTTTGGCTAGTTATTGGTTAGTTCATGGTGAACTTCTTGTTCTGCAGAACCTCCACCATCATGGATTATGAACTTGTTTTAAGTTTTCGGTTAATTCAAAGATGTTGGAATGTTCTTTTTCCATTTTATTTTTCGTCTATAATGTAAAGAAAAGCAAATTCAAGTGTTTTCTTTCTCTTTTCTGTACTTATTTTAGAGGATTATAGAGATAATCCTTAATAGTTAATATTCTTTATTATTATGATTAATTTTGTTGCCACAATTATAATAATTGTATCAATATGTGCAGATTTTATTTAGAAATAATTGTTGTGTAATTAATATAGATTAAGGTAGTTATTTATGTAAACTTTATATATATATATATATATATATATATATATATATATATATATATATATTAGTCTAGGTCAATAATAAAGAGAGCAAGAATTTTATCATAAATTTTTCTTTATGTTATTAAAATAATTTATGATATTATCTACAAGATCGAAGAATTGAAGATGAGAAAGACAATCTCACCCTATAACGTAACAATATTTGGAGTGTAGAAATATATGATAACAAGACTGAAAATAAGGATCGAAACATAATATGCAGCAACTATAATCATTTATAACATGACCCTGAGAAATCAAGGAAAGACATCAATTTCTAAAGGACATGATGTAGTAACTAAAGCAAATACAATGCAAGTATTTGTGTCTGGATCATTACCTATCACCATGATAACAATGCTGACAATTCTACTCTTGGTGGATTGGTGGATTGAACGGTAAGCAGTGACAAACATTGGTGAATCTTTTAAATAATGTTAAATTAGGCGCTACTGAAAAGCTAATTGGCAATCGTAATTTTACTCATTGGATTATCGACGCAGGTGTTTCTTGTCATATGACAGGAAAGTTAGAATACTTGACTGATGAGAGAAATATCTTGGAATGCCAGTAGGGCTTCGAGATGGAAAACGAATTTGTGTTGCTACGGAAGAAATGGTGGTGCTTAGTGAAACATTAAAATTAAGCAATGTTCTCTATGTGCCTAGCTTGAAATGCAATATGATTTTAGTATCACAACTTGTTCACGAATTAAACTGTATGACTCAGTTTACGAACAAATTTTGTGTTATTTAGAACTGTGTCTCAAGGATGATGATTGGAACGAGTAAACGAAAAGAGGGGGTATATTACCTTCAAGGAATGGGTTTCGCTACTTCTCTTGCTGTAAAATCTGGGAATAATTTTGATTTATGCCATATAAGACTTGGATATCCTTTTGGTAAGGTCGTGGAGCTTATTCCAAATATTGGTGCTAGTAGAAATAATGCATTATGCAATAAAGCTTGTGATGTTTGTCTTAGAGCAAAACAATATAAAGAAAGTTTTCCTCTTAGTACTAATAAAACAGTGGATTTTTTCAGCTAATTCATTGACTTGTGGGGACCTTAGCGAGTTGTGTTTCATTGTGGTGCTCGATATTTTTTTACCATTGTGGATGATTATTCATGAGCTATGTGGATTTATTTGTTGGAAGAAAAAAAAGAAGTTTTCACATATTTGTGTCAATTCTTTATTGTGGTAGAACATCAATTTAGTAAACAAGTGAAAGTTTTACGCAATGATAAAGACACAAAATTTGTTTGCATGGATAACAATTTTCAAAATCATGAGATTGTGCATAAAACATCTTGTACAAGAACTCCTCAACAAAATGGGTGAGAAGAGTGAAAACATAGACATACTCTTAATGTAGCTCGTGCACCACGCTTTCAAGCTAATCTTCCCATTGAATTTTGGGGCGAATATGTTCTAATTGAAGGATACTTAATCAACTGCACATCCTCAATTACATTAAATGGAAAACATCATATGAGATGCTCTATAGCAAACCTCCATCTTTCAATCATTTACACGTATTTGGATGATTGTGTTATGTTCATAACCAAGACATTAAAGAGGACAAATTTGTAAGTCATAGTCGAAGGTGTGTTTTCTTGGAATATCCATATGGTAAAAAGGGTTGGCGGGTGTATGACTTGGAATTGGGTGTGTTCATGATGTCCAGAGATGTCATGTTCTCTGAAAATGAATTTCCTTATGTTGAAATACAGTTCTTAGCATCTGAGTTGCCTCACACAGAATTAGGTAGTTTTTCACCTTGGAACAATGTTAATAACACCCATGAAATAAAGATTGTGCGGGCTGATTTTGGGAAGGGGCACATTGTAATTTCTCCACAAAAACCATTACTTACTGATTTTCTTAATACTGAGACATAAACAACTAGAAGGGGGGCTCCAACACTGAGGTGAATGAGCTGCATTTAGGTCATGGACGTTGTACTAAAATATTGTCCACTCGGCTGCGAGGTTTTGTGACAAACACCATCTGCGACATAGACTCCTCTCTAACTTCACTTACTACCTCTCACACCTCAGGTACACCTTATCTTATAACATATTATGTTAATTACGATAAGTTTTTTGTACACCTCAGACAATTTTTGGGAACTGTTAGTGTAAGTACTAAACCTACGTCATTTGTTGAAGCCACGAAAGATGAACTATGGTAGCAAGCCATGCAGACCGAGATACAAGCATTGGAGAATAATGGGACCTAGATGTTGGAACCACTATCACCTAGAAAGAAAGTTATTGGGAGCAAGTGGATTTATCAAATCAAGTATAAATCTGGTGGTTCGGTTGACATGTTTAAAGCTCGTCTAGTGATACTAGGAAACAACTAAGTTGAAGGTCTTTACTATACTCAAACCTTCGCTCCAGTTGCAAAAATGATAATTGTGCGCATATTTCTAGTTATTGCGGCTACTAGAAATTGGGAGCTTCATCAAATGGATGTTCACCATGCCTTTTTGCATAGAAACCTAGAAGAGAAGGTGTATATGAAACTTCCTTAAGGATTTCGATGTGAAGCTTTGGGAAAATTTTGTAGACTTCAAAAGTTATTATATGGATTGAAATAAGCTCCTCGATGTATGCTTGCAAAATTTGTCGGTGCTTTGAAAAACTATGGATTTACACAATCCCCGTCCGATCATTCACTCTTTACACTGCAACGTGAAAATGTGCAACTCCATGTGTTGGTGTTTGTGGATGATCTTGTGATTTCAGGAAATGATAGTGTTATCATCAAAGCCTTTAAAACATACTTGTATGCATGTTTTCATATAAAAGAGAGCTTAGAATGTTGAAATATTTTTTAGGCATTGATGTGACTTGTAACTGTATTGAAATGTTCTTGTGTCAATGCAAATATGCATTGGATATTATATCTGAAACGGGATTGTTAGGAGCTAAGCTAATTTGCTCTCTCATGGATCCTCAATACCGCCTATCGTTAGCTGAATGTGCTCTTCTTCTATATCCAAAACAGTATAGAAGGTTGGTGGGATGGTTAATTTACTTGTCTTGTTACTAGGTCTGAACTTTCTTATTATGGGCATACACTTGCATAGTTTATGTAATATCATAGACAAGAACATTTGGATGTTACCCTACATGTTGTGTGCATTTTTTGAAGGCTAATCATGAACAAGGAATTTTGTTAAGTGTTTATTGTGATTTACAACTATATGTTTGATATGACTCAGATTGTGATAGTTATCCTTTGATTAGAAAATCTCTCAGTGATTAATTTATCCTTCTTGGTTACTACCATTTATGAGCTGAAATGGCTAAAGGAACTCTTATCATGTTTTGGTATTAATCATCAAAAACTAATAAAATTTAATAATCAGGTTGCACTTCACATAACCGTTAATCCTGTTTTTCATGAGTATACCAAACATACGAAGTGGACTGTCACTTTATTTGTGATAAACTTGTGTGAGAAACTATTGTTCATGTGTCTTCTCAAACTCAGCGGACATATATCTTTACCAAGACTATAGGAAAAACTCAATTTAATTGTATTTTTTTTCCAAGTTGAACATTTGTAATTTATGTATTCTAACTTGAAAGGTATTGAGATATTTCTTAATAATTAATTTCTCTATTATTATGATTGGTTTTGTTACCGCAATTATAATATTTATTAGAATTGTGTCAATATACAAATTCTATTTAAAAATAACTATTGTATAATTAGCATAGATTAAGGTAATTATTTACGTAAATTATATATATATATATATATATATATATATATATATATATTTTAATGTGATCACAAGAATTATATTATAAATTTTTTTTTAAATTATAATAATCAGTTTTCTATCAATTTTTTATTTTTTTCTTTTCTCTTTATATTAATTAACATTTATTAATTATTTAAAAACCTTACCTTAAAATAATTTATACATTCCACTACCATGTAATATAGAGAAACATGTTAATAATGAAAGAAATTCTGTATTTATATTATTGAAATAAAATAAAAATTATATACCATTGAAATCAGTTAATAAGAAAGGAAACTCTGCAGTTATATTGTTGAAATAAAATAAAAATTATTCATATAGAAAAACCAAAAAGTAACTGGAGAATTTTATATGCCCTATAATTTATTCTGTTTTTGTTTGGAAAGAAGATTAGAAAATACGAGAAAAAGAATAGAACAAATTGTTTGAAAAAAAAATCAACTAATTTTTTTGTTATTGAAATTTTAATATATTTTTAATTATTTATTATTAAAATAATGAAAAATATTTAAACATAATGTCCTCACACATAATCTATGTTCTATTCCTTATACCTTTTGTCATTCTTGACTTTCATGAAATAAATAAATTTTATCATAATTTTATATATTTTTTAAAATCACTTAATTTCTTACCTGTTTTGTTTCCGTGGTTGAAAAAGAAGATTTGCCGTGAATTTGTTGGGTGGGAAACCCACGCTAACTCCTTAGTATAAATTCCCCTCTTTTTACCTTTACTGAATATTTTATAGTTTGTGATGCAATGAGAAATTTAAAATTTTAAAGAATTTAAAGTGTTTAAAATTTGAATTATTTGGATAAAAAAATCCCATCTTTTTTAAATCTTTTGTTATGATAATCCATTTTAAATTATTAGTTTGGATAATTTAATTTTTACGATGTGAAAAAAATAAAATATATTTAAAAATGTAAATTTAATATTAAAATTTATACATACATGAACTAATTTTAAATGTTTGATAATTAAAAATTAAAATAAAACAACATTTAATAATTAAAATGAATTGTCATAAAAAATTCCACAAACCAAACCTTTTAATGTTTATTAGTTCATAAATGATACCATTAGATTTAGTACACAAATATTATAAAAACAATTAAGTGGAATAAAATTAACTTTCTAACGTACATAAAAAGACTATCAAGTGATCAAAGTATAACAAACTTTCCATGATTTTTTTTTTTAACATTATTTATATTTTATGCATACACATTACAGCATAATATCATTACACTTAATGATATGAATATTATAATATGAACCAAGTTAAAAAAAATCTTTAGATAAAAAAATCGAGTTTAAAGAGCCTTTTTAATATACTATTTTAATCAAATTTAAAGGATTTTAAAATTATTAAAAAAATACAATTTATTAAATTAATCATTTATAAAAATTCAATATTAAATTATTTCCACTACAATTTATAAATCAAATTTATAAATTTAAGATTATAAATTAAAAAATATATATTCCTTCTAAGACTGGTATAAGTAACTAATATTAAATAATATAATATTGATAAATAATAAATAAATATAAAAAAATTAAAAATATAAAAAATGTAAAAGAAAAAAATTATAAATATACAAAATAAATATTAAATTTGAATCAAAATCATTACTCTTGATTATTCACTAATATTTATATTCCTTTATGTTTTATATTCACTAAAATTACTCAAGCCAGTATAATTCCAGCGAGATAATAAATATGTAATAATACATATATTAAGAATAGTTGTATAAAAATCTAAAAAAAACATGTAAATTAGATTTCAACTTAATAATTTACTTATAAAATATTAATGAAATGTTTTTAATTATAAATTATTATGTTTTTAATTAATTAAAATACAATTATAAATATATAATTGATATAAATAAATAAAATATTTATATTAATATATTTATTATTTTATAATATATTTTTGTCAATAAACAATATTTTTATATTGTTGTTTATAAATATGGTATATTTGTATATTTACAATTATAAAAATATATAAATAAAAATTAATTTTCTTTTTGTTTATTATTGTAAAAATGTTCAAAATTGGGTAATAAAAATAGATTAAATAGTATAAACAAACATTAAAAATTTTGGCACGTGAAATTTTTTGTGACAGCTGGGTTATGACTGGAAAAATTGGGTTTGATGTTCATCTGATGTTGCAGGAATACTGAACAAAGATTCCCAGTTGCATGTCATTTATTCCTTGAAATTGCCAAAGGTGTTCTTTCTACTCTTTTATCACACACAACTTACACTTCATTACTTTTAATTTAGACACAAAGTCTCAAAACACTAATTTTATGTAAGGTTTTATATTCAGCTATATATATTAATTTTTATAAGTAACTTCATTAGTTTGTTGTAAATTTATTATCTTATGGATCATATAGTTCACGCTTAATTAATTAAGCTTTCAATATGTCTAACTTGACCTGAAATTCTTCAAAATGTTCCAAATTAATGAACAAGATCGAATTACTACCTAAAGAATATGAGAATGAGCTTTGAATTTGTAGGGAACAACCAATGATCTCCGCCATTTCTTGTGTGCTTCTCTAACATTTTGTAGCATGTCATGTTTACCAAATAATCATACTCACTTTATATTTATTTTTTAATAGAAAAATATCAACAAAATAATAAAAATTCAATATAAAATAACAAATAATCGATTAAAATTTCTATGAGAAGCAATAATAAACATTAGACAAAACAAATATAGACTTTTTATTGTGAAAAAAATGTCATAATTAGTAAGAATGAAAGCTAATAAATCAAAACAAATCCAAATATTCTTGGTCACAAATAAGAAATAATAAAAGATGAAAACCTTTCATAACAGGTTATTATTACTAACAATCTTTCTCAATCCACATAATCAATATTATTTTATTTCCCCTATTAACTAAGTATATCCTTATAAAATGTGATTAATTTATATATCATGATATTATGAACTCCATTTCTTCTTTCTTTTATAGGAAATAATATTTTCTTAAATTATATCATACAAAATAAATAACATGATGATAAAAAGTAAGAACTTTAACTCAAGTTAACCTCTCATTAACATTATAATAAAAGAATAAAAACAAGTTTATCCTCAATTCAAGTTAACTTGGTCATTGTCTTTTCTTTTCTTTTTCTTTTTTTTTACTTTGAGACACTTGACTTTGAATTTGTTGGCTATTATTCCGTACGAGAAACGCATTTGACCTTATTTATAGATAGATAACAATGAATTCAAATCCAAATCACAAACCAGCATTTTAGATATAATCGGAAAACTTTTACAGTTTTAAATATATTTAGATAAATCTAGAGAATTAAGAGGTTGATATTTTATTAAAAGTTATAAAAATTTAATACTATTCACATAACATCATCGCTTTTGTGTTGAATGCATTCCAAGGGGCTTCAAGGGTAGTAAAATTTGAAGGAAGGGTCCAAATGTCACAACATCAAACAGTGAGCACTTGAGGTTCGGTGCGGCATACCTTGACCACCATGTGTTTGTAATTTTTCTAAAACAAGAGTGTCTCCAATCTTTCTCTCTCCTGCAATCATGCATCACCAGACAAAAGTCAAAAAAACAAAGCAAAGCCAAAATATCCCATCATCACATAAAGTCTCAACCCTTTCACTTCACCCACGTGTCCTCTACACCTGACTTCTGTAACATTTCATGCAAATACCATCGCCATGTCATGGCTTATGGTAGGGCATAGGGACCCTTTACCACCACGAGAAAAAAAGAGAGAAAAAAGAAAAATCTATCTAAAAAGACCAAAAGAGTGTCTCAAAATAGGACCAGCCTTTTTTCCACGACTAATTTGCATGCACCACTCAACACCACAACCATAATGCTCCAAAACAATTCTTCTTCTTTTTCTTCTTTCTTATTGTGCTTCTTCTTCTCCATTCTCAATTCTTTTCTTCTTCTAAAATGGTACTCCCTTCCAAGCACAGTCCTCGTACCCCCACCTACTTAATTCCCTGTGTTCTTGCGCTCTCTCTTTTCTCCCTCACCGGGCTTCTCCTTTACAAGGTCCTTAATTTCCTCCACCTTATGTTTGTTTCTTCCCTGCCAACTTCCCATTTCCCGTTACTTATTCGCTTTTTAACTTTTTCCGCGCTTTCAGTAACTTTGTCTTCTCTGGTATTTTCGTCGAACAGGTTGACGACGTCGTTTCGAGGACCGGAACGGTGGTGGGTCACAACCTAGAACCGACGCCGTGGCACGTTTTCCCACACAAGCCCTTCGACGAGGAGACTCGCCAGCAGCGCGCGTATAAAATCCTACAGTGCTCCTACTTGACGTGCCGTTACACCACCGGAGACGGCGGTGGAGAGCGGCGGAAGTTTCCCGGCGGTGGGGGGCAGTGTCCGGAATTTTTCGGGGCGATCCGGAGGGACCTAGAGCCGTGGATGGTGAGCCGGATCACGAAGGATCACGTGGCGGCGGCGCAGCGGCTCGCGGCGTTCAGAGTGGTGATTGTTGGAGGGAAGATGTTTGTGGATTGGTACTATGCATGTGTGCAGAGTAGGGCGATGTTCACTCTGTGGGGGTTGTTGCAGCTTCTGAGGAGGTACCCTGGGATGGTGCCTGATGTGGATATGATGTTTGATTGCATGGATAAGCCTACTGTTAACAGGATTGAATACCAAGGAATGCCCGTGCCTCTCTTTCGGTATTGCACCACAAAGGAACACTTTGACATCCCTTTTCCGGATTGGTCCTTCTGGGGTTGGTAAGATTTTCACTTTGGTTATGCCAAAATGTCACTTTTTCCTTTTTCTTTGTCTGGTCATTCAATTCAATGCCTTCGATTTTTCTTCCACTTGTTTATTGTGTAAGGGGTATTTTTAAAAGTTCACGAATATGGTGTCGTTGATAAATAATTTTATCTCTTAACTTTCTCCCAATTTTGTGTGCACTGGAATAATATCTATTGGAAAATAGAAAATTCTTAGAATGTATGCGAGTATCTTGACCTATCAGTATTGTCTTGGGATACCTCGATTCACCTAAAAAAAGTCATCGTTAAGTTGAATGTACATTTGCACTCTTTGGTTCTTAAAATTTAACGACATGTGCGTTGATATTTGTGTGTTCTTGCAGACAAACTCCAGAAAGGAATATTTTGTTTCAAAAAACTGGGACTGGGACTAGGACTAACATGAATAAACTATGTTCCTCTAGGCTTTTTCTTTGTGTAATTCCTGATGTTGTTTATTATAATGAGTGCTACCATAATCGCCCAGAACTTTGATGCATATTGTGATTTTATTTAGATTTATTAGTTAATGTATCTAATTTGTGTATTTGAAAGATAGAAGTTTTGTTTTTTCTTACTCCCAGAAATTAGTAGAGAGCTTGTCTCAAAAAAGATAATATTTTGCCAAACATTCAGAACACTTTTGAAATGAGGGAAAATGTCAACAGAAAAATTGAAGATAGTCTCTAAAAGAAACAGAACATACCATAGGATTAACGTAAATTAACTAGGCTGATGTGTTACGGTCTGGTGAGAAGTTCATATTAGAAGCTGGACAATTTTGGTGTCTGTTTTGACTTGAACCGTGAATCTGTTGAACACTTGTTGTTCAGGTCAGAGATAAACATACGACCCTGGGATGAAGAGTTCCCAGATATCAAACGAGCTTCTCAAGCAGTTAGTTGGAGAGATAGGATACCACGGGCATACTGGAAAGGAAACCCAGATGTTTCATCTCCTATTCGTATGGAGTTACTAAACTGTAACCATTCTAGGAAGTGGGGAGCACAAATTATGCGTCAGGTTGTATTAAATTATTTTGCATAATTTAGACCTTAATTGGGTTTAGTAATTTCAATTTTCCATGCTTACCTTTTTTTTCTATTGCAGGATTGGGATGAAGCAGCTAGAGACGGCTTTCATCATTCAAGACTTGCAGATCAGTGTAATCACAGGTAAGTATTAGATGGGTCACAATGCATACTAAATACAGATGGATTCTTTTGAACAGTTAATGGTGCACATTGTAGAAGAGCTTGTAGTGGTTTCTTAGTTTTAGCAAGCAAATTATAATAAAATTGTTGCACAAAATTTGGATGTCCTTTAGTTATGTTTGTGTTCCATTTTGAAAAGTGACATATTTCTTGGGATATATTCATATTATGCTGCCGAGTTTTCCCTTTTCGTCATCCTCTTATATGCCTTCTTCCTGCAGGTATAAGATCTATGCCGAAGGGTATGCATGGTCCGTGAGTTTGAAATATATTCTCTCTTGTGGTTCTGTTGCATTGCTTATAGCACCCCAGTATGAAGATTTTTTCAGCCGTGGCCTTGTTGCAGATCAAAACTATTGTCTTATTGATCCCCTAAAGCTATGTCCATCTATAAAGTATACTGTAGAATGGGGAAATCAACACCTAGAGGAGGTATTTCTTTATTCATTGCTGAATACTTCTGCCATTTTAGTTTTGATCCATGAGGACCAATGTAGTGCTATACCTTCTCTCCAACTCATTTAAAAAAAATAAATTATATTCTCCTCCCATATATTGTGTTTACTGTAAAATTTCAGCCTTTGTATTGTGAAAACCTACCTTGAAGATTCTTTGGAACTTATAAAAGATGCTATAATTGAAAATCTTAAGATTTTTTTATGTCCAACAAAAGGACATAAATTATGTCCTTTAGTATAACACATGGTGGTTGAGATAAAAAAAAAGGACACAGCACATGCTTAAGATTATATGTCCAGATAAATTATGATTGTTCATTTCGTGTAGTTGAATTTTCAAATTCAAATGGTTGGAAATTGGAATGAATGTTCAATTTAATTGCTCAAAATGAATGTGATAGCGATTTATTTTTCATCTGAAATTTACAAGACTATGATTATCATGAATGTGGATTGTCTCATGCCAGTAAAGAACATTACACATTATCATGTTGTGAGAGACAAAAAATAAATTAATGGACCCTACACAAATAATGAAAGGCCATAACATAATTACTTGGTGTCTTTTTCTCTCACAACGTGACATTGTCATGCTACTTACCAACACAAAAGGTTTCAAATCATTTCAATAGTATTTTGGTACAACAATTACCCGTGAGTTTTCTGGTACCTTAATTATTGAACTTGTGAAATGTGTGTGAGAAATTGTATCCAATGAATTTGATTATTCATATGGTTGCTTTGTATTGTTATAGGCAGAGGCTATAGGGAGAAGAGGACAGGAATTTATGGAAAGCTTGACCATGGATCGAATTTATGAATACATGTTCAACCTTATCTCTGAGTACTCAAAACTTCAAGACTTCAAGCCTACTCCACCACCAACATCCCTGGAAGTTTGTGTAGAATCTCTGCTTTGCTTTGCTGATGAGAAGCAGAGGACGTTCCTCACTAGATCAACTGCATCCCGTGCAGTAACCCCGCCATGCACTCTCAGACCTATCTAGAGTCATCTCATCTATAGTTTACACCACAAAAGTACTAAGGATGTGTGCAATATCCGACAACATGGGATCATGCTTCCTCACACATTATTAAATATTGTAAAAATGTAGTGTTTTGTATATTATAATTCACAAGATTTAGCTTTCATAATAGGACATCATTTCATTCTCATAGTTTCCCGGTCATTATTCTGTTTCTCTTTGTCCCCCATCTTTTATTTTGCATAAATTTCTTAATCACAAGCCAATATACAATGTTGCAAATTGAGTAAAATTTTAGGTGATGTTTGGTATGTTCATTAAGCGACTACTAACTTTTTCATCATAATGGAGATAGTTATAGGTTGATGAGACTATTTCAACAACAGAGACAGTAGGGTAACTAATTAAACAACCACTTTTCATGAATAAAATAAATAAATAAAACACTTTTCTTGATGTATTCCAGCAAGGTATGACAATGTGGAGTAAAAGCAAAAAACACTTTTTGACGTGTTCCAATAAGGTACCACAAGGTGGAGTGAATGTAAAGTGATTAATCAGTGTAATTTTTATTTAATGTTGCACGGTTAATATATATTTTTTTAAGGCGTTTTATTGATATAACCGTTAAATTTATAATATCATAATTATCTAGGTCAAATTGTCTAAAAATTAATCACAATAACAAGGTGGTAAAATAATTAATAACAATAATAATAATATCTTACTTCTAATTAAAAAATACATCATGTGTAATTAAATTAAATTAAATTCTTAATTTGTATTACAATTGTTTTAGATATCCAACGTCAAAATCTTTATCCGGTTATGTTATGTGCCACTATTTGATGAATGATAAAGTAATTTTGGTGTTGAATTGCTTGAGTGTAGACTGTGGTTTGTCGTTTATAAAAGCAACTTGCACGCATGCTATGTAAGAGGCATGTTGTAAATGGGTTCCCTTCTGAGAATATGACATTATGCATTGGATGAATGTTGGAATTTCTGTGAACTTCAAAACTCTTGATTCATGAGGAATCTAGTGAAGTTCCGTATATATTTTTTCTTATAAGCCACTCAAATGCAATCACAAGTTTTTGGGATTGGTGCACATTCAATCACAAAACCTAAGCTTAGTGGAGACATGCCACTATAGACACGGTTTAAGTAACCAAAATCATTGAAATTTGTAAAAATATCATGTCAATTTGTAACACCATCTCCTAATCTAACAAGCAATGCATCAAGAAAAGAAATGACCTAAAAATGAAACGTTTGGGCCATTCGGTTGATAACGCCACAAACACTTTATGAGTCCACTAGCTCTTGGGTCGCTGTTTTTCCATATAAATCCAACAATTTTTTGCTTTTTGATAAAAAATACAATAGCCATTAGATGTTATGATATATGTTAATATTAAACAGTCTTTTTTGAACAAATATTAGTAATAGTAATAACTAACCAATCAAAACCAGTCAACTTGTGTCACACAGTTGACAGCTATCTGAATCTGAGATAAAAATTCTGAATCAAATAAATTATTGGTGGTCAAGATCGATCTTGACCTGAATTTCTTAGGCACCAGCTTTGGTTAATACATATCATGACTTCAGTAACATAAATTGTTATTTATCCAAGAACACATTAACAGATTAGTAATGACTCCAAATTGTGGATTAAACACAACTGCAAAGAAAGTTTAATTTGATATTAGATCAAGATAGCAATGAACTTGTACACACTGCACAGGCTGAAAATTAATGAACTAAACCAATTTATAGTACAAGGACCAAATCAATATGGTTAGACAAAATTCAAATAAGGAAAACATATCAGATTTTGCATAAACACACATAAGGCAAACAAAATCAATATGCATCACTTGTTTGTATAACTTATCCAGAAGTTACACAGAAGAAATTTATTTTATTTTCTTATTTTTCCTATAAACACTTTAAAAAAACCTCTTTTAAAATGCAATTACTTAACTTTAAAAGGAGCATAAATGATGAGCATTTAATATGAACCAGAGAGTGCCTGAGAAACAAATCCATCTACAATTCATTGATCTAGGACAGATCACCATCTGTTGCGTGTAAGCATGAAGATCGCTGGTTCCGTTGAAAATGGGCTTAAAAATCAATGTGCCACCAACGTGGTTTTGATCTTAAATTTGGCAGCATTTGACTTACATTAACACTAATTAATTCTGCATGCCCCATGCCTCCATGCTCAGCAATTAAATTAAGCAAGAGATGACGAGGAAACCATTCATTAATTAAATTTATTCAAAGTTGTTACTCTATCTGAATGGCTACTACTTTTTGATAGTTTAGGAAGAAACAAACAAGCTGGCCTCAATCGATAAGTCCAACAACTGAAGTAACACCTACCTCATTTTTTCTTGCACAAGACTCAGGACTCCTCAGTTATAGCAAGATCATGTAATCAATTGCTAACTATTCACTTTGCTGTTTTGTATCTAATTATCTTACAAATTTTTATTTGTGATTGCTATTTTGTTACAATCTGATATTGTGAAAAGTTATAGACAAATTCAATAGTTAATTGTGACTCCGATGTAGTAATGAAAAGTGAAAAAACAGAGTTGAGGAGCAAAATTGACCATCAATCCTTGTGCTTTTCTTTTCTCTTCTCAATATCTCAGATGAGAAATTCTTCTTGATTTCACTAAAGTTCATAGGTGTACAATCCAAAGAATAAAAGAGTAAAAAAATGAATAAAAGAATTTCATGAATGAGTTAGAGGATGAGATTTCATTCAAGTGGGGCAGAGAATGAAGCTAGGGAGATGCTGGTAGGGCTACCTTCAATGAAAGCCAATGCCCTCTCCAAGTTAGCAACTATGTCAGTCATTTCTGGCCTCTCCTTTCCCTCCAAGTTCACACAGTGCATAGCAGTGTAGGCCATGATCTCAAGGGACTCAACCTCATTCACTTCTGGCTGTCCAACTCTGCAATCCAACACACTCCAAAGCTCTCCTGATGCTATCTTTGGCCCTGTGTGTTCCACTACCCCTATAGGGCTTGACCCATCTTCAGTTTTGAACACAGCTCTCTTTCCTGTGAGAAGCTCCAACATCACCACTCCTAAACCATACACATCACTCTTTGTGGTTAGCACATTCAATACATAGTACTCAGGGTCTATGTAACCAACGGTTCCAACTGCATTGGTAGACATCAGTTCTTGCTCAGTCTCGGGCCAAATTAGTGACAATCCAAAGTCAGAAACTCTGGCATTCCAGTTTGAGTCCAAAAGTATATTTGATGACTTGATATCCCTGTGAATAATGGGTGGCACTGCGTAGTTGTGAATGTACTCAATTCCCCTAGCGGCACCCAATGCTACCTTGATCCTCATCTTCCATGAATTCAAAATGCTGCTACTCTTCTCGACATTGTTTTTGTCATGCAAATGGTCATAAAGTGAGCCATTGCTCATGTACTCATAGACCAAAAGCCTCTCATCATTCTCCTCACAAAACCCAATTAGTCTCACCAAATGCTTGTGGTGAAGCCGGGAAAGCATCGCCAATTCAGAATCAAAAGCAATTTCTTTCTCCTGAAATTTCTTCTTTATAGTACTAGTATCTCCTCTTTTAATGGCAACTTCACGGCCATCCCCTAGCATGCCTTTGTAAACACTGCCGAAGCTACCAGCACCAATCTTATTACGCAATGAGAAATTGTCAGTGGCTGTTGCCAGTTCACACAATGAAAAACTCTCAGTCCTGTCCACATGCTTCGATGATGAACCACTCCTATGCCTCCTCAATCTTTTGGACCCATGACTTTTGCTAGAAAAAGTTCTGAAGGTTGCCCCATTGGAACCAACGTTAGGCATGGGGATTATATCCACGTAGGCATCACTCTCTGAGCTTGTAGGCTTCACAGAACTATTACCTACTTCTCTCCTCACCAAAACCCTCCTTGCACCAATCCAGAGGAAAAAAACAATAGAACATACACCGGCTAAAGCCCCAACTGATCCAACAACCAAAAACACCAAAAACTTCTTCAAGTTTCTTCCTTCATGTGAAGAAGACACTTGTGATGATGGTGGTGGAAACAATGGCACAGCCAGTGGAACCTCAGTTTGACAAGCATAACAAATACTCCCTGACCCATCACAAAGAGCATCAGAATCAGGATAGGTACCACAAGAACTGCCACAGCCACCCTCAACACAAGGACCTGGGAGAATCACTCCCAACGGAATCTCACTAGGCACATGAAAACTACCACCCCAACAAACCAGAGACAAATTCCTAGTTGTCAACCCGCAAACATAATCCAAACCAGCAACGATAGACTCAAAAGGAACACCCTTCACCACATCACTATCAAAACCACCACCCCAACACACAACAACCCCATTCCTCTGCCTAATGCCACACGTGAAACCCTCTCCCAAAGCAAGACCTGAAAACTGCAATGAACTTAAAAAAACACTGTTTCCAAGTTGACCCGAACCATTGTTCCCTCCACAAACCAAAACCCCACGAAGAGTCAAACCACACGCATGAGACACCCCAGCAACAAAACTCGACATAGTAAAATTCTCAAACTTCCTTTGAATCTCACCACTGATATATGCACCCTCGTCGTCACCACCACCACCCCAACACACAACCCTCCCACTCTCTCTCAATATCCCACACGAAAAACCGCGACCACACGTGACACTCTTAAACCTTAACCTCTCTGAGGGAGATACAAACTCGATCCCACCGTTTCCTCTCCAGCATCTCACCACACCGGATGGCACCTCCCTCGCGCAGACCTGGGAATCACCAACTGCCACGTCAGCCAAATGCACCACGTCGCTGTGGAAGACCCTCTTTGGGTAGAACGCACCGTCTGCGGCCGCGGTGTCCCAGCAGTGGAGGCTCCGGCCGCCGGAGCGCAGGCCGCAAAAGAAGCTCCGACCTCCAGAGACGGCCTCGAAGGAGACGTTGGGGAGCGTGAGGTGGACGCGTCTGCCATCCCGGGAGCACA